CGGGGCTGCTAACGGGATAGATGGATTGTGGGGTTGGCCCCAGACACCGTGCCAGCTGCAGACAGGGTCCAAGGCAGAGAAGTCCCTAGCATGGGAGGAATGTAAGCAGGCCTGCACTTGGGGGGAGGGGGGCGCAGGGCATGGCTGTAGCACTGCAGGCTGCAGAGCCGTCCCCAGGGAAGCTGCTGGAAGTCAAAGGAGGCCCAGGGACACTCTCACTTTCACCAGGGTCCGACCAGCCCCCCCCGCACAGGCAGCATCTGGGCACACAGCCACCTTTGCCCTCCCCTCCCGCTGGGCTCCCCCACACCCCACCCCACGTCCCCAGCTCATTAGCAATCCAGGGCGGTTACCAGCCAATGGGGCTGATACATGAAATGAGTTTCAGTGGGTCTCAGCCAGGTCCCAGCAGCCAACCACTCACCACGCAGAACCCGCTTTCCTAATGGGGCACCCCCGGGAAGGCGCCAAGGACACAAGCAGATTCAGCGCTGCTCTCTTATCTCCAGCTCCGGGCGGGGGCCCAGCGGCACAGGAATGAACATTGGCACCGGCCACGTCGGACCCTGGCCCACGTCACACAGAGCAGCCTTTGCTAATGACAATAGCAAAGGCTGATCTGTAATTTCCTGGGGGCGGTAGCCAGCGTGGGGGCTTTTTGCCTCCAATCAGGCCCTGGGTGCCCTGGCAGGTCTGATGCGGGGAAGGCTACAGGCAATGGAACGGGTGCAAGGGGTAGACTCCTAGCTACGGCCCTGCCCTGGAGAGAAGGGTTGTTCTGGGGGGGCACCCGAGTGCCAGAAGCGTCGGCTTTCCAAGCCGATCCTAGTGCTAGAAAAGGGAGCTCTTTGCTCTGGGAAGAAGCCAGAGCCGAGTGACTCAGCAAGGCCTGGACTCCTGGCCTGCCTGCCAGCTTTCTTGCCTAGCCTCCGAGAGAGCCGGGAAAGGGCAATAAAAGGAGACTGGTTGCTGCAGCGTTCATCCTGCCAGGCACACCATACGAACAAGACTCAGCGCTCTCCCGTTGTTGTCAAAAGCCTCAGCAGGGCCCTGTGGCGCGCCGCCTCCTGCCTAGGGCTGAGGAGCTCACACAGTGCCTTTCCCCTATGGCTCTGGTATTGAAACAGCCCCAGGCATCCCCTCCCGCCCCATCACCGTGGTGGCAGCAGTCTGACTGCACACCGCTGTTTAGGACAGGAAGTGAAGAAGGCCACAGCCAAGTCACATGACGACAGGAGGGCATTTTGGGAGCCAGGACGCCGAGCCAGCCCAGTGACCATGAGCGCTCATGAGTCTCCCCGGCAATGTATATGGAAGGTGGGCACTGGACTGGCACTCAGGAGATCTGGGTTTAATTCCCAGCTCTGCCAGTCTCATCGTGTGTGACCGTGGGCGATTCCCCCATCCTTCCTCCCACCCTTTGTCTGCCTCGTCTATTTCAACTGCAGTCTCTCTGGGGGCAGAGACGCTCTCTCAATCTGTACGTACAGAACCTAGGGCAACAGGGCCCACCTCAGCTGGGACCTCTGGCATACGCCAAATTGATCCTGCCGGTTCGGGGTCTGCCAGGATCACAGGGCTGCCCCAAGGCTTCTGGGGGGAGGCGTCAGTGAGATGCTTCTAGCGAGTCCACGCCAAATGTAACCGCCTCGTTCTACGCAAGCCGGGCACATTTCGAATCTTTACTCCTCTCCCTGCCGCTAAATCAGAGCCTCACTGCTTGATCCTTTCAGCCCTAGGACCTGTTTGAGTTCCCAGCGTGCTTCAGGAGAAAAATGGCTAGCAGCTGGATCATGAGAAACCGGGGTGAATGAAGGAGTCGGAGGAGGATTAGGGGTTGGGAGGCCCTGGGCCGGAACAAATGGGGGCCCCTGCCCACTCCTTCCGCCTGCAATCTCCCCCTCCCCCCTGCCCCGCCTGGTGCGCCCCAGTCCTTGGCAAGAGCACCAGGTGGGCAGCAAGCCCCCGCACCCTGACCCCGCTCCCCATCAGGAGCGCTGAGAAGGTCAGGGTGCGGGACCACCCATTTTTCCAGGAGCCCCCCAATTGGCCGGGGCCCCTGGACACAGGCCCTGTTGGCCGAGTGGCTAATCCACCACTGGAAGGTAACTGGAAACCCTTTCCCCCCCTAATTCTTTGCAAGGCAATCTCATGGGCCAGCAGCTCAGAAAGCCCAGCCCTATGGGGCATTTCTTAAAGGGGCCCTGCAAAGAAAGTTACATGGCCTTGTGCCCCTGTTTTGCTTCTTTATGTTGGAAGCAGTCCAGATTGTTCTTTTAAAAAACTGTTTTTTTTTTCTTTCCTGCTTGCTTTCTACCCTAGAAATATCAGGAATGGCAAATCTGGTCTCCTCTGGAGGACTCATTTGATGGCGTAGAGCTAGAATCGGTGAGCTCTCTCTGAAAAGATAGGGATGATGAATTTCTAACCCTTTTTCTAAGGCGTTGGAGTTAAACAAAATATTCTCACAAGAATCTAAAGAAAAGGCTCACATCCCCTCTCGTGCATGACACACAAGATCTCCAGTCATCCATAGAGTCTTCCAGGAGTAGATAAGACCTGAATTTTTAGTGTTAAAAAAAAAAATCACCCACAAAAAGATAGAACAAAAATCTCTTTTGGAGGCCGCCTTTGTCCATCAGGAGAAGAGCGGGGCAGGGGCTGTGGGGGGGCGTGGACTGTCTGAGCTGGCACACAGCTGACCCAGCGTTAGGTCACAACAGGAACATTGACGATTAACGTACAACTCTCCTGCAGCAGAGACGCCCCATGCGGGGTTACGCGCTGGATTGCAGGCTCCTTGGGGGCAGGGATTGTCTTTTTCTTCTGTTTATACAACGCTACTGATGTAGCCGATTAATTGACTGCACTCGCGGGTCAATAATAAAAATGTTTACGAGACCAAATAACCAAGCGTAGCCAATTTCCTGCCTAAAGACAAAACAGTACGATACAAAAAGGAGACACATGCCCGCCGTCTTCCGGGAAGCAATTTGCAGCATGTTCACCTCACACAGTAGGTTTGCTTCGAAGATCCACCCTCAAAATTACTTTTCTTTATCATAGGGTTGCTTACAAGCTAAAAGCACTTTATACTTCACCTAAGATCCAACCCACCAGTTCCTTCTCTCTCGTTTACCACATTCCAAAGGAGCTGGGCGCAGAGGTACTTCCCAGCCTGGGCAAGGACACACCATTCATGCATCTTGTCTTTTGACACCTTTCCTATTTTCTAATGCCAAAGCTGACTTCAGCGTTGCAAAGTGTTGTGGGATGCCTGACGTGGGTGAACAGAATTGTGGGACAAGCACACGACATTCAGTCAACACAACTTCCCAACACCTCCCTATGTGCATCTCCTATTAACACTGTGCACATAATACCCATTAACATGGTGTATTCTAAACCTAACTATATGTATTGGCTAACAGCTTAGCACAGGGCGTCCTCATCCAGACCCAGTGCTCTTAGACATTTTAGCAGGGGCGGCCACACTTACTGACCCACCGAAAACCTTCAGAAGTTTGAGAGCCGGGGCACGCCTGCCGGGAGTCGGGCCTTCAGCCCCTCAGGAGATGCCTGCTGGGGCTCTGGCAGGCGTGTCCTGTGGGGCTGAAGCCCTGAGACTCCCCACTCCCTGCTGGGCAGAAGCCCCTACCCCACTACCCTGCTGCAAGGCAAAGGTCCCCAGTGGAGAATGGGGGGTGGTCCCGAGAGCCACACTTTAACTGTAAAAGCCACAGTTGGGCTACCCCTGCATTATAAACCATCATCATAGAAAAGGGAGGAACACCTAGAGTGCGTCTACACAGCAAGTGTGAAAAATTGGGGTGGGGGGGGGTAATAGGAGCCTATATAAGAAAAAGACCCAAAAATCAGGACTGTCCCTATAAAATCAGGACATCTGGTCACCCTAGACACCTAGAGTGCGTCTACACAGCAAAAAACCAAACAAATCCCCAAACATGGCAGTGAGTCAGAGCTAAAAGCTGCAGTGTAGCCCCAGTCAGTTGAGCCGGGCTCTGAGCCTCCCATAGGTTTGCCTTGGTTCTCACGGTTTAGGGCTCCCCCTAAACAGTAAAGAGACGTAGCGCAAGGCTAGGCCTGGAATCTGGTCTGTGTGGGCAGAGCCTGTGAAGCCAATGGGCTCTGCCTGAGTTCAGGAGTCCAATACAACTGGGCCCTAGTTATTTTCAAGTCACCTTTAAACCAGACCAGAGACCATGAGGCACAGTGCCAAGACACTGGCTGGCCCATATCTTTGGAAGCAGAGGGGGCTCTGAAACCCCACCTCTTAGCAGGAGAGCAGCGATGTCTCCCCCACCCCCCAGCAAACATTACCTGGCCCATCAGCTGAGGCCTTGCAACTCAGTGCACCCATTTGCTTCCAAAGATGAAACGAGCGGCACATAGTTATACCTCACCCCCCTCCCCTCCTGGGGCCTGCTCCTCAAAGACAAAGGGAAGTCTGGAGCTGCCTGTAAGTATAAATGTGTGCAAGCAAGCCCCACAACCCTGCAATCAATGGGAGGGGGAGGTGTTGCGGGGGGGGCAGGGTTGTTGGGGAAGGGTAGTGTATCTTTAAAACAACATCACAAGCACCCCCACCTCCTTCCATGCAGGATTGGGCTGAGTGAATCAATCTGGAGGGAGGGGGGGGGCATGGAAGGAAGCCCCCTGCTCCCCAAGATCCACTTCCCAGGCACAGAGCGTGAACTTGAGACAAAGTCCCTTACCACACAGCCACTCCCACCAGCCGTGCCCTGGACTTTACACCCCCCTGCCAGCTCCCAGCCTCCCTCTCTGAGCCCACACCCGCCCCTGGGCCCCCGGGGCACAGCTTGCACCTCCTTATCACCCCCGGAAGGAGCCAGCCTTGCAAGACAGGAGGAGGGGGGAGAATTTCCTTTCCCACCCCCCACCTCCTTTCCTCCTCCCATAGGCACCTGGCCCCCCAATACTGACACCCCTCCCCCCCCAGCAGCCCACGTGGAAAGTACCTGACACCGGGTGTCTCTGCGGTCTGCCTGGCAGCGCCTCCCCCCGGCTGGGGAGCACGGTTTTGCCCGGCATGGCTGCACGCAGGTGATCAAGCTGCCCCTTGTCCAGCCTCCGCGTGCAACTAACTAGCCAGCAACTTCCTAACGCCGTGGGCGTGGCCAGAGGGGAGGAGCTAGTGCAGGGGGCGGGGTTAGTGGGGACTGGCTCCCCGCCCCATGGAAAACTCTGAGGAAGACGCGTGGATTTTCACAATGAATCCTGCTGATGCACTTAAAGTGTGTCACTGTGGGAGATGCCATGCAAACCACTATCTCTGCTGCTTAAGATTTGCAGAAGTTGGGAGGGGGGGGTGGAAGCTCAGGAAGTCCGTACAAAGATCCCAGGGGGCCCATGCGGCATGGGGCCCCGATCCTGGCCCTGGATCCATGTGGGTGGATCCTTGGGACTGGGCATGGATCTGATGGCAGGATCAGAGTCTAGGGGAGCTGGCTATCACCCTGACTTGGGACAATTTGTTGAGTCGTCCCTAGAGCTGGGTGGGAAGCGGAGACTTTCATGGTATAGATTAAAATGCTCCTGAATTGAGACGAAGAGTAAAAATCTCAGGAAATCTTCACCAATGGAAAAGCTGAAGAAATAAATTGGTTTGGGTCAATCAAAATGTTTTGTTTTGATCCTTTTGAAATGTTTCAGTTTTGACCACTTTTTTTTTTATTTTTACTGTAATTCGCTTCGGTTTTGAACTGAAAAGTCGCTTCAAGCTGGACAACTGGGATTTTTTTCATTTAGAAACAAAACCTTTGGGCAATTTCAAAACTTTTTTTTATTTCCCCCCAAAATGTCAAGAAAAAAAACCCTTTGCCAAACCCCACTCTTTTCCGCAAACAGTTTTGGTTTCGATGCATCGACATTTTCCGATTTAAAAACCTGATCAGCTTTGGTCATCCCCCTCCCCTCCTCCAGAAGGGTGAGGAATTTCCAGGCCCATAAGTTTATGGGCTCAGATGAGATTTTCAAAAATGGCTAGTAATATTTGCAGCCTCATGGTTTGGATGGCTAACTTGAGACACCTTAGAGGGGCCTGATTTTCAGAGGTGGTTGCCCAATGCTGTTTGACAATCCCTTTCAAGAGTTCTCCCCTCCCCCCCCCCCCCCCCCAATCACTGGTCACTTAGGAGCATCTCAGCCTGAAGAGCCTTAGATTCAAATATATTCTCCTGTTTTTCATTGAGCTTGTGACCAGGGTCCTAGTGGGGAGCCAGCTGTGGTCACTCAATTAGGGTGAACTGCAAAGAATGGGGCAGACAATCCCCAAAAAGCCGGTGGATATTCCAATATTTAGATTTACCAAGACAGCATAAACTAGCTTCTTTATTCATAGATTCATAGATTCTAGGACTGGAAGGGACCTTGAGAGGTCATCGAGTCCGGTCCCCTGCCCGCATGGCAGGACCAAATACTGTCTAGACCATCCCTGATAGACATTTATCTAACCTACTCTTAAATATCTCCAGAGATGGAGATTCCACAACCTCCCTAGGCAATTTATTCCAGTGTTTAACCACCCTGACAGTTAGGAACTTTTTCCTAATGTCCAACCTAGACCTCCCTTGCTGCAGTTTAAGCCCATTGCTTCTTGTTCTATCCTTAGAGGCTAAGGTGAACAAGTTTTCTCCCTCCTCCTTATGACACCCTTTTAGATACCTGAAAACTGCTATCATGTCCCCTCTCAGTCTTCTCTTTTCCAAACTAAACAAACCCAATAACTAAACAAACCCAATGTTTATTACCTTACTGGTTACTCAGAAATCCAAACAACACTGTTCCCTTAAAGTGATCCAGCCTCAGGCCTCCTCCATCCAGGTACCTAAGTCAAATATGATGATTTCTGAAAATCTTATTTCATTATATAAAAGAAAAGGTTCTGTCAATCCCAAAGGATCAGACACATTACCTCCCAGGTTATTGAATATTCTAGATCTTAACTAAATACACAGTACAGCCAATTCTTTGTAACTACACTACAATTTATTAAAAAACAAGAGAGAGAGAGTATGGTTAAAAAAATCAATATACATACAGACATGAGTTTAATTCATTGAAGATCAGATTCATAGCAGAGATGGCAAGCTTTGTGGTTGCAAAGAGTTCTTTCAGAAATAGTTCATAGTCCAATGTCCAAATACCATATTCAGGGTGTACCAGCATAACTGGCACCTCAGTCTTGCGACTCAAACTTCCCCTGACGAAGCCTAAGCAGATCTGAGATGACAGAATCAGGACCCAAGGAACTTTTATACAGTTCATGTCTTTTGACAAGTTGGAGTTCAAAAGGTAATTAGCATGACTTTGAAGGAGGTCCATCACCGGTACTTAGCTACAGAATTAACATAAGGCAATTTGCTTGTTCCTCCACCATTCAGATTATTTGCTATACATTTCAAAGAGAGATGAATACCGAGATATCCCACATTTACAATTAATTAAATTGCTAGGATGTTCTTTTGACCTCTGAATTAGACAGACCTCAGGGACTGTTGATTACATTGTCACCCACTCATACACATGGAAATCCACAAAAACACAAACATGCTCTCCCTACAAGTCTTTTGAGGGTTATTTATTTTGCAGGATGTTTAACCCTTTCTAGCCATGCCTCACAGAGGTATTCTTCAATTTCATGCACATTGCTGGAGGATTATTAGTAGCATCTAAGAATGATAGTGTGATGTTGGCTGCCCTGTGGGCGAACTCACTGGGGACCTCCAAAGCTAAAAACATGAGCTGCTACATCATGAACTAAAGAGCCAAAGCTGTGTAGCTAGAGACTGAAAAAAAACTCATCTCCTCTGTGGATCAGCCCAGAGGCGGTCTCGTAACACACACTCACCAGAGAGTTACAATAGCACCTACACAGAGCATCATGTGTTCGTGGGAGGGTAATGAGCAGTACTTAATTATTCCTCACAGTGCAGACAGGCAGGATCACTGTTCCCATTTCACAGATGGTGCAACTGAGGCATAGAGAAAGAAGGTGATCTGCCCAAGCTGACACAGCGAGTCAGTGCCAAAGCCGTGATGGGAACTCAGCCATCGTTTTTGCCTCTTGATCATAAATCTGTGCCTCTTCCTGACATCTGTATGCTATAGCACCATATCAGGGTATTTACTCATATACACCTCTACCCCGATATAACATGAATTCGGATAGAACGCGGTAAAGCAGCGCTCCGGGGGGGGCGGGGCTGCGTGCTCCAGCGGATCAAAGCAAGTTCGATATAACGCGGTTTCACCTGTAAGATTTTTTGGCTCCCGAGGACAGCGTTATATCGGGGTAAAGGTGTATTCTGCACGCAATTTAGCACTCTCTTGGATGTAATAATGTTAGATTGTCTAGGAAGGCATGACATAAATCTGCTTCCTGTTGTTTGAATGCGTGCTCTGAGAATGGTATCGATCCACACACTGGTCCTAACCCAGGAGAAGGGCTTGCAGCTCAGATGTCCAATTTTAAATGAGCCTGGCTGCTCCGGCTGCTTACTGAAGTAATTATAATCCTGTGTTGGTGACATAATCATCTCCATGGCAACCAACAGTGATGTCACCAGCAGAGGATTATGATGTGAGGTGGAGGAAGAAGCAGCAGAAGGGGCCGCAGATCGACTCTTAAGAAACAAAGAGCGGGCTTGACATGCACATATCCCTGCTGGGAAAATACAGGGAAGGGAAGGTGCAGAAGACAGACCTGCTGCTTAGCACTTTCGAAAGCAGTTTACTAGCGAGCTGGTCTAACTAATGAAACCTGCTCTAGCAACTGAACAGAGAAGCGGTGTTACCTAATGGTTAGAGCAAGGAGCCAGGACTCCTGTGTTCTGTCCCCCTCCTCTTCCTCTGTCTTGCTGTTTGGCATTGGGCAAGTCACTTCTCTCTGGGCCTCAGCTTCTCCCAGGGGGATAATATACCCACGTCCAGTGATCTATGGGTAGATTCGAACTCATCTAGATTCTTTGCAAGGGATTAGAGATCACCTACCTACCTCCCAGGGTAGTGTGAGTTTAATTCATGTTTGTGAAGTACTTTGGGTCCTCTGCATGGAAGGCACTTAAAATTAAGGATTTCCCCTCATTAGGCATCAGCTTCTCTTTAAAATCAGCCTCTGGCACATCAGACTAACCGTGGCCTTAATTTAATTCCTAGCCCATGTACCAAATACCAGATGAGGCCTAGTCAAAATAAACAGAGATTCATTGGTGTTTTGATGGAAAAGAAACTGCTCTGTTTTAACACCCATCCCTAACAGGCGAGGTACCAGGGACCTCTGGAGCTACGAAGAACCAACAATTGGTGGATCCTGGCATAATTTCAGGATTATCCCAAAATAATTTACTCTAATGATGCTGTGTTTAGCCAGGTAACTGTTAGGATTATAAAAACAACAAGGAGTCCGGTGGCACCTTAAAGACTAAGGGATTTATTTGGGCATA